TTGAGATAGAAGTTTACTCTTATTTTCTTTCAGCCCTATAGCTACTGGTGTCAGTGCTATTGATTAAATAGCCTACTCTTGCCCATTAGAATTGAGGTGCTACCATTATTATATATGACATTTTCATATTTATTTGGATATTTGGGAGTCTCTGTACTGCTCCATTAATTTGTTTATTCTTGTACTAAAGCCACACTGCAAAGGCCTTCTTGTAATTATTTTTGGAATTGTATTAAATTTATACATTAATTTGGGGATAATTGATATTTTAATTTTATTTTTTTTCATTCACAAAAGTGGCATTTATATTTATTTTGATCTTTATACTTTTTAAAGAACATATTATAGTTTTCTTCATTTAGGACTTGTATCTTTCATGTTAAAAATATGATTTACTTTAATTTTTTAATATTGTAAATATAATTCTCCTCTCACACTTTGTCTACATGAAAATGTCAACTTTTAATGCTATAGTGTTTTGAATTGTAATGTTTTTTATTCATGAGTTAGAAACATTTTTATAACTTTTTATAGATCTGTTTTTTTATGTATCATTATAATCCAAGCTTTAAAAAATTGCTATTTCAAATTCTCTATAAACATTTTTAATAGTTGCATGATTTTTCCTCACCATAACTTTTAAACCATAATTCTTCATTCTTTATCTGTAGCTCAAGGTAGTAGTATTTCTGGTTCTTGAGTCGTGGATCCTTTTAAAATATTTGTTTTAGAAAAAGTATTAATTTTAGCCGAAGCCGGTTTGGCTCAGTGGTAGAGCGTCGGTCTGCAGACTGAAAGGTCCCAGGTTCGATTCCAGTCAAGGGCATGTACATTGGTTGCAGGCACATCCCCGGTAGGGGATGTGCAAGAGGCAGCTGGTCGATGTTTCTCTCTCATCGACGTTTCTAGCTCTCTATCTCTCTCCCTGTGAAATAGAAAAAGTGTTAATTTTAGAAAGGCATAGAGGTAAGAAAGATATCACCAGTAATTCTTTTACCAAGTAGCTCTTAATTTTTTCACATATAATACACCCACAACATTTTGGAGCTAGTTAGAGGTAATGGTTGTATAGCACTTTTTAAATAAATGTTTTTATTGATTTTTAAAGGAGGGAGGAGGGGGGGGGGGGGGAGGGGAGAGAGAGAGGAGAGAGAAACATTGGTCGGTTGCCCTCCGTATGCATCTGGATCAAACCTGAAACCTGGGCATTTGCCCTAACCAGGAATCAAACCAGTGATCTTTCGATGCACACGAGGACACTCAACTAGCTGAGCCACACTGGTCAGAGCCTTTCAGATTTTTTTTTAAACTTCCTTCTTTTATTATTTAAAAAATTTTTATTATTATTTTAAAATTTCAGAGTGGAAAGGAGAGGGAGCGAGAGACAAAAACATCAATGATGAGAGAGAATCATTGATCAGCTACCTTCTGCACACCCCCACTGGGGATCGAGCCCACAACCTGGGCATGTGCCCCTGTCTGGAATTGAACCTGGGACCCTTCAGTCTGCACATGTATGTTCACTGAGCCAAACTGGTTAGGTTAGGGCTATTGCATTGTTTATCTTAAATATTTGTCTGACTTGTAGACTATAGCCTAGGATTGATTTCTGCCAGTAAAATTCATGGTTTAAAGGGTGTGAACTATTTAGCAAGGCTAGTCGATAATTGTACTGTCTTAAATCTGATTTTCATGGGTCCATTCCAGGTGACATTGGAGCTTCCACTGTGGATAATCTAGTTCATTTTCATGCTTATACTTAGTTTTTCCCAAAAGGTTCCAGTAAAGCTGTAATGTAGGAAAAGGATTAATTTGAAATATACCCTTCTGTCACAAGATTCATGAGATGCAGTTTGTAAAAATGCAGCATTTATTACTGATCCTGTCTGTTCTAAAAAAAGGCAGATTGCCATAATAAAAAGCACAGTATCCTTCAGAATCTCATTACAGACTAATGTGGCAGATTTAGTAGTCTTAAAATATAGGACAACACTCAGGAAAACCAGTGCTTGCAGAATTTTATCAGTGGACTAGTTAAGCTCGTGCCGTGTCCAGCTGTGCTGGTGGATACTTTTATATTCAGCAGGAGGGCGTTATTTCGGTTTTTTGTTTGTTAATTCCTTCACTCCTTCATCAAACCTTTACTGAGACCTTGAGGGGAGTTTCTTTTTTTTTTTTTTAAACAACTTTATTGAAGTCTGATTTGCATACCATAAAAATCTGCACTTTGTAAGTGTACGATGCAGTGATTTTTTTAAAATAGTAAGCTTATAGAATTGTGTAACCATTCCCACAATCCAGTTTTAGAACAACATTCTCATCATCCCCAAAGTTCCTGATGCCAGCTTATCCTTGATTTCATTCCTAGCCATGGGCAATTACTAATGGACTCAGTTTCTATATATCTACCTTTCCTCAACATTTCGTGGAATCATAGGATCTGTGCTTCTGACATCTTTCCCTTAGCATAGTATGTTCAAGGTTCATCCATGTTATGGCATGTGTCAGTACTTTATTCCTTTTGTTGCCAATAGTATTCCATTGTGTTGATACACCACCTTTTATTTATCCATTCCTCTGGGAAACAGCTGTATGCCCTAAAAACTTAAAGTGATTTCCTTGCTTTGGTGCTTTTGGAAAATATTAAAACATTCACTGTTGATTCAAATGCCCCACTTAATTAAAAAACATGCCCCAATTCATTAATGTCTGTATAATAAATGCCACGGAGGCAGCCAACCCCCCACAGTAATGCCAGAGAGCGTTCTTGGAAATAGAAGTGTCTAAGATGAGGAGAGAGAGCTCCACAAAGTGCGTGCCCCTTTCATTGTGAGGAATTACCGTGTAATTGAAAAGATATGAGAAGAAGCCCTGGCCAGCTTACTTCGTGGTTGGAGCGTTGGCCCACGGAAGGGTTGCAGGTTCAATTTCCTAGTCAAGGGCACATACTTTGGTTGTGTTTCAATCTGATCACATTGGGGCGCATGTGGGAGGCAACCAGTTGAGATATCTCTCTCTCTCTCTCTCTCTCTCTCTCTCTCTCTCTCTCTCTCTCTCTCTCTTTCTCTCTCTCTCTCTCTCTCTCTTCTCCCCTTCCTCCCTTTTACTCTGTCTGAAAACCAATAGGAAAAATACCTTCTAGTGAGGATTAAAAAAAAAAAAAGGTGAGAAGAAATGAAAAACCTTAAGCTGACATGGTTATAAATCAGCACCTATAGCGTGCTCACCACAGGCTAAAGGGCTGTAGATTCATGAGGTTGGACATGTGTGTTCTCCTTGATTCACTAGTCTTAATTGACCTGGATTTGTAACCCAAATCCAGGTCAATTAAGATCTACCTAGGGGAGAAGTCACTTTGGCCACATTTACCACAGTAGCCAGCTTTGATCATTGGCTGGGGTGGATTAGTGATGTGTGCCACAGGCACAGAATTGAGAGGAAATGTTGGTACTTGTTGACTCTGTGCTAGTGTTTTCTGGTATAGACAGATGACCTGAGTAAAGGTTGGGTTTATGAGGGAGAGGACTTTTGTCATAGGAATAAAGCATGTTTGTCTTGGTGCTATGGGATGTAGCAGAAACTAGATGGGGTCAGCATGGGGGTGGGGAGGGGTGGAATACAGATGGCGCTGCTAATTACATACTTTATGTATGCTGTCTCTTAAATGTCTTTAAGTCTCAGTTCCTTTATGTGTAAAATGGAGATGATAATACCTATATCATAATGTTGATGAGAGGAGCTAATGAATCCATGGTATGAAAATATTTTACCACCCACAGAACTAGAAACTCTTGGAGTGTTATTATTACAGGTGTGTGGGTAGGCGGAGCAGGAAATGCCTGCAGTTAGGCAAGGTTGGAAAGGATGTGGTGGCCTCAGGGCCTTTGCATGGGGCCCCTCTGCCCAGCCTGCTGCCTCTTGCCACATCCAGGTTTTAACTCAGAAGTTACCTCCATTAAGGCCACATCATTTAAGCTGGTTCTTGCCCTCTCTCCAGTTACCACCTCATCCTGTTTTATTTTCTTCAAAGTTTTCATCAACTAAAATGGTTTGGTTAGCCTACTTGTTTGTGTGTCTTCCCTGTTAGAACTGTGCAGACGTGGTGAGGCAGAGACCTTGTGTGTCTCACTGTGTATCATCAGAGCCTAGAATGGTGCCTGGCACATGGAAAGTCAGGGTTTCTTAATGTTTGTTGCACAAGCGAATGGAAGGGTATCTGAAGTCCACAGACCCAACTGGGCTGAGGGCCAAGGAGTGCTGGGAGGATTAAGAATAGAGTGTAGTTGCTTAGACCTCATCTCTTTGCAAACATGGTCTTGAATCTTCCATTTCTTTGGTTATTGAGAAATGAATTCAATTAAGTCCACAGTAATTACAACTTTTTTTTTTTTTGTAGAAAAGCAAGCAGAGTAATTGTAACTTAATTGAAAATTCCACTAACTCTGAATCTGATTTCAAATGTAACCTCTTACAACAAAATAAAGAACAAGAATCAGAATTCATATTATTTCTTTATTGTATGTAACAGGCCATGAAATGACACAATGTTTCCAATTTGTCAGGCTGGTGAATTCAATCTCTTAAAAGATAACCATGTTCCTTAAACTACCTGTGATATGAATTTGAGTTGAAATGTGTAAATTGGATACAATTAACTCCCACCGCTCCCCACAACAAATGGATTTGCTCTGAAATTGGCTTTTTTCTCTCTCCTGCTGCCTGGCACCAATTCCATGTTCCCTTGTTTCTTGTGAATTGTTACTATGCTTCCACCAGTCTAATGACTATGGTTAGACTGTGTGGGCTTCCCTGAGTTATGTGAAATAAACAGACATGGGGAGGGGTGCGTGGAGCGGCCCAAGGCAATTACCTGCCTGTAAACCCAGGCGTCTCATGGGTTCCTTCACACCTGGTGACGTACTGGCTCCCGGGCGATGCGGGGCCACTCTGGTGGTTTCTCCGCTTCACAGTGGACTGATGAATCATTGGTTCTCTCACAGGGTGACCTGTCTGTGTGCCCAGTTTGAGGCCGTCCTGCAGCATGGCTTGAAGAGGAGTCGCGGATTAGCACTAACAGCAGCTGCGATCAAACAGGCAGCCGGCTTCTCCAGCAAAACGGAAACAGGTACTGCTCGGCCTCAGGTGGTGGCCCAGAGGATGCTGTCTTTCCTCTCTCCGTTTATTTTTATTTAATAGCGAGCAAGGCAGTCAATGTGTGGGACTGATGCGGGGGTGAGGTGGGGCAGGGCAGGGTGGTGCAGAAATTACAGGTAAGGATGTCTGACTTTCGGTCATGGTGTTTAATTTAAGTGAAGTCATCCTTGGTGAGGAATCCCTAGAGCCACGTGTTGCAGTCTTTAAGGGCTCGGACGCCTGCAGCGGAGCTGCTTATTTCACAGCGTGGTGAGGCAGTTGCTGGGAAATTAATAATCTGTTTTAATATGATGCATGGGGATAGCATGATGTTTCATAATTAAATCTGTCTTTAATAACAGCAAGAGACCACACAGGTCTCTGAGCGGATACGTTCTGCTGCCATCCGCTTTAAAGTTCCAAAGCATTTCCCAAGCGCCATGTGCCTGTCTGTCTGAATGACAGAGGTAATGCTAATGATAATAATAACTGCTAACACTTGCAGGTATTTACCTAGTGCAAGCCTGGCACTTTGTCCGTCTTCTGTATAAATGAACTTGTTTAGTTCTGACAACAGCCCTGCGAGTAGTAGGCACCTTTATTTTCTCCACTGCACAGATGAGGACACCACCAAGAGTGATTTGCTTTGGGCCTGAACCTTACAAGGGATCCCATCATGTGAAAACCATCCCATACTGTTGTTCCAAACAAGATTTAAAATATTTAGACAGTTACTTGTTAGTTGGTTTCTAACTAACCAATTCAGTGAATTGGTTATGGTTATCCAGTTACAAATGTTGCAGCCATGCAGTCACCTGGGCATTATTTAAAAGTATTTACTGTTAAATGTGATACCCACCAAGAATGAAATAGAACTTTATGAAAACTGTGCAGTTGTGTGCATGTGTGTTTTAAGTTCCTTTTAACGTTGAATATTGTCATTGAATGAAATGGGTCAATGGATTGAAGATGAGGTGTTAAATTCAACCATTAGAATCACTTTTGGTATACCAAAACATGACAAATTATGAATAAAACAAATACACATAAAAAACAACAACACCCCCCTCAAAAAACTGTCCTATGTTCCCCACCACACACCCCATTTTAAAGAGCACGCTCTTTTAGACTCTGCTTGTGGTTGTTACCTACAATTCTCAAATCTTTCTTGTTGTGATATTAGTGTAAAATGTGTTATTTTTGGCTAGGTTTCCTCTTCATAGCTAAAAATCACCTCACTGTGTTTGGTGAAGTTGTTGGTGGAAATTCTCTGCTGACTGAGCCTTTTGCCCTTCTTTCTTTCTCTTTTGTGTTGGCATGTCTCCCTTTTCTTTTTTGCCCTTCAACAAACTTTGATTCCTGTTCATCTCACCGGTTGCTCATCTTCTCAAAGTATTGTGATTCCTGTTGGGGTCAGAGGAAGCTGCCAGAGGGATTCCTGTCACTGCTGATTTTTCTCCTGTGCTCCTGGGTTCCTCCTTTAAAATTAAGTCATGGACGTGCGGGGCTGGTCCAGAGAGACGTCAGCCTCACTGCTTTCACCTCAGATGTCAGTCCTGTTGTCTCATGTCCAGGATGCTTCCCTGGGCCCATGTATGGGAGTGGCTGAGGGCTCTGGGCTGGCTGAGAAGCTGTTCAAGGACATTGCTTTTCCCACAATCCCCTCGTTTCCATTGTCTGAGGGGCCACTACCTTTCATGATCATGGTGTCTCCCCCACCAGGTAAGTATGAGGGGGAGCTACCGTAATGGCACTGGCGAGGCTCAGGCTCTGCTTCCATCCAGTCAGTGGCAGCTGCTGGCCATGGCAGAGGCAGCCTTGGCTTTGGAGTCAGACTGTGAGGCTAAGTCTGGTAGGGCCATAGTTTTCATTGTTTTCACTTGTAAAGGAGAGTAGTCTCATCTATTTGGGGCCTTGTCAGGAGGATTCAGTGAGAATCTCATGTGAAGATCTGCTTCCATTCATAACCTAATGTTGAACCAATTGCCATCTTTCTGCAACGCTCTTACCTTTAACCTCTTCCTGCATCTCATCTCCCTTAAGGCTCCCTGACCTTTTAGCCATGAAGAATGGCTCTTTCCATTCCAGCCAGACCAGAATTCTTGTCTTTTTGTTACTTGGTCCTGATAATCAGAGAGGTGCCAAAACATTTGCATTTGCAAGGCATTTCCAGCACATGTTCTTGCTATTTTCCTGTATTTTAAGCATGATTTCTGTACCTGCCGGTACACCCCAAGGAGGCGGATGAACGGGTCTCTGGCTCTGTTCTCCTCTGAGGAAGAGGTGCTGGCCTGCCTCTTAGACTCTTAGAAGCAGGAAAGACCAAACTGGGTTAGCGCTTGAGTGGCTGCCCGGGGCTTTTGCTGTCACTGTCAGCAGTGTTAATGAACCGTTCACCGGTGCAGAATAGTCCTTGGCTGATGAAAACCTCTTTCCTGCTGTTGAACGTGTGATTAAAAGCCTCGCGAGAGAAGGGAGCCGTGGGCTTTCAACTAAGCGCTGGGAAAGATCAGATCAGTGGCTCCTTGAGGCTGTTAGAGCCACTGGAATGACCTTTCAGGCAGAGTGAAGCAAATGAGATCTGGTGGAAATGAGCATCGTTCTGTTCCTTCGCCCCTGCTGCCTGCTGGCTAGGCCCTTTATGTGGCTTAGCAGCTTATATCAGACTCTGCAGTCAGGCGACAGAGTTGAAATCTCTGTTCAGTGACTTGTCACACGTGAGGTCTCTGGAACCCCCTCCCCCATGTTTCCTCATGTGCAAAATGAGGTTAATAACAGACTGCCTTGCAGGTGACCCCCTGGGAAAGTGCCTGCAAAGCCCAGGCCTTGGTACAGAGCTGCTGGAGCTGGTGCTTGATGGGAACTTGGCAATTACTTTCCAGAGTAGATGACGGTGCCCTTATTTCCCAGAGGATGACAATGAGGCTCAAATAAGTTAATAAGCTGTCCAAGTTACCTACCAAGCTGGTAAATGGCAGAGCTGAGGATTCCAACCCAGGTCAGATTGATGTCAAGCTCTTGGCTCTTCCCAGCTGCCCCCTCCTCTGGTATTGGGCCTGATGCCCACTGTTGCTCCTCTGCAGACCACTCTAGCTCTCTTAACTGAGTTGAAAGTAACAGGAGAGAATAATAAGGGTGAATTAATCCACAAGGCTATTGCATTAGCTCTGTTTACAAACGGGCGACATTACCTTTGAAGAGAGAAAAGCTGAAAAAGTAATGGCCTACTAAAATGATGTTGAAAATCACAGTACTGTAGATTGTGCTGTGACTGCATTTGGTCATCTGGGGTTACGGTGTGTGTGGGACTGAGTTTGGAAACTGGTGCCCTGTACAGTATACGTAAAAAAAAAAAAAAAATTAAAGTTGCCAACGTTTAAAAAATAGGAGATATTATGCTGAAATATGAATTTATGACTTTTCTTAAACTTGAAGATCTGTGACTCTGGACACACATGTGCTACTGATTTTGATTGGAGCCTAATACTCCTGCCCTCCATAGGTTGGGAAAAAGTACTCTAGTTTACCATGGTCTCCATCTCCCCTGATTGCCCTTGACACTTGAGATAAGAGTGTTGGTTGACATTTATTGTTGAACTTTTGTTCCTATTTCCATTGTTCCTATCTAAAATTCAGTAGTTTTTGAGTTTAAACATCTCTCAGATATAAGTCTTTGAAGTCAGTTTCCACAAATGTTTTTGTCTTCGTTGTCTAGTTTTAAAGTTGCTTTTTGGGAGGGGATTTGTTAATCTCACTTGGCTATAGCCAGAAATCCCTTATTTTTTGTTATTGTCTGGATTTTGAATATATTGTTGTCTTTGTAAATGCCTGGTATTTTCGACCAAATACAGATGTTGGGTATGAAGGATTGTAGAGTGATTTTGAAGCTTGAGGTGGTGTTATCTTTCTTCAGAAAGGATTTGCTGTTTCTTCTCAGGCAGGTAGAGTAGAGGGAAATCAGTTTAATTCAGTCAAGGATCGGGCCAGTTCACACCTGGGCTTCCGCATTTGTGAGGGCTCCTGTATTTCTGCTTCTGCCTTATTTCCAGGATATAGTTCTTTGGGCTTTTCAGTTTGTTCAGAGCTTCCATACAAAATTTCCACACCCTGGGTGGCTTAAAAAACAGGGAGAAATTTATGCTCTCGCAGCTCCGGAGGCTAGGAGTTCAAAGTGTAGGTGTCAGCAGGGTTGGTTCCTCCTGGATGCACGTGTTCTCAGCTTCTGGTGGTTGTCAGCAGTCCTTGGCGCCAGCAGTCCCTGGTGTTCTTCGTTTGTAGCTGTATCACTCCAGTGTCTGCCTCTGCCTTCACATGACCTTTCCTCTGTGCCTGTCTCTCTGTGTCCTGCCCTCACCTCAGAAGAACACGAGTCAGATTGCATTTAGTTCCCACCCCACTCCAGTAGGACCACATTGTAACGAATTATATCTGCCTAGAGTCTTTTTTCAAATCAAGTCACATTCTGGGGTTCCAGGTGGACATGAATTTTTGGGGGACACAATTTAGTCCGGTGCACAGCTGCATCCTTGAGGTGATTACCAGTGCTCTTTCTCCTCAACCTGCCCGAAACCTAATTTTCCTCTTAGCCCCTGTGGGAATATTGAAAGCTCAGCTTCCCTCTTCATGTGGGGAGCTCTATAGGGAAAAGCCTCGAGGGCAAAATAAGGCTCTAAATGTAGGTCTCATGTCTATGGACTTCTCTTCCCTCCTAGAAAAATGTTGTCTGGCTTTTTAAGTTGCTCTTTGTGTCTAATCCAGGCTAACCTTCCGTAGCTGAAAGATGTGCCACCTTGTGTGTGACCATCTCCAGTTCCTGTTCTACAAATCAGGCACCACGTTTTCCTTCGGAGAGAAACTGTAGCTTGGGAAAGGGTTTGCAGGCAGTTTCCTTCAGTTTTGTGATGATTTCCATCAGTGCCTGCAGATGTCTCCCATTTCCTGGTTTGTTGTCTGCTAGGTGTTTTGTTTTATTGGTTTTGGTTTTGGCTTAGC